ACTGTGTGCGTTAAAGAGACGCTAACGCCATGTGACGTTCAGATTCTGTCCTTTATGACAGCTGCAACAGATCCCGGAGACTCGTGAGACTCTAAAACAGAGAGTTTGGCATCAGATTAGTTCCACAATCCTCTGGTTTCTCCTTTGATATGCTATATGCAGCTTCATGGACTGACTGTTTCAAGGGCAATGAACGAATCTATAGATATGAACAGCTTGTGTAAGTTCAAGTGTTCAGCATTATATGTTTTTGCACTCTCACTCACTCGTTTGTTCTAAATCTGTCCTTTTTGCTGCACTATCATTGGCTTCAGTTCAAAATCATGAATAATGTGGCTGCTGTAACTTTGTTATAAAGACACTCTCCTTCACCTGGGTGTTTAAATGCCGATTTCTGCATCTTAAACACTGTAATACACACAGGGAGACCAAGGAGGTCTATAATAGCTGGAGGGAGCTGTCCTTGGCTGTTACTCAGCAGGAAATATGGAGATAACCTTGCTAACTTTATTATTATTATTTTTATTTTTTTTTTAAAGAGTACAGGTGGGAGGTGCAGGTGTTTTTTTTACCTGAGCCATAAATGCCATTTGATTATTCACCCTGGAAATGACAGTCCTGATGACACCAACAATATAAAGATCAATAAATACCAAATCCAATAGAGTTCAAAAGTTTGGGGTCTGTACATTTTTTTTTAACTGGTCAAAAATGACAGCAGGTCATTTATAATATTACAAATAATTTCTATTTTCGTGGATAATGGCCGACACATATATTTTAACCATAAAGCTGTATTTCTTCAAGAGTGTTGCACCTAGCCTAATTTCTATTTTTAAATAAATGCTATTCTTTCTATTCATCAAAGAATCCTGAAAAATAACACAGTTTTCACAAAAATATTAAGCATCAAATCAGCACATTAGAATGATTTCTGAAGAATCATGTGACGCTGAAGACTGGCATAAATTGTGCTAAAAAATTCATCTTTGCATCACTGGAATAAATATGTTAATTACGTAAAATATATTGAAATGGAAAACGGCTCATTTTTAATATTATTTCATAATATTACTATTTTACTGTATTTTTCATAAAATAAATGCAGCCTTGGTGAGCATTAGAGAGAAAAAGAGCTTGCCGACTGCAAGGTTTTTAACAGTAGTGTTTTTATATATGGCACAATGTCTACTACAACACAATGTTTGCAATTTATATATTGCCTACAAAAAAAAAATAATATTCCATCAGTGTACACCATTACCTTTGTGCCCCCATAATGGTGTAGTTATGGCATCTACCAGCTGGAGTCTGGACCAAACCCTATTATTGTCTTTATGTATACAGACACAATGAGCTATAATGTGAGCTACTTCTCTGTGATCCAGAGTTGGGTTTGAATCAGTCCCCTGATGTCAAGAAGAGCAGAGCTCCTTATTAGCTCTATAAATGAAAGAAAACTTCAGTGAACTCTCTGAACAAACATCTAGCTCAGTGTAGTGTGTGGATACCTTTGCTGTGACAGTCAAAACAACCAACACTCATTTGTTTCTCTCTTTTGTTTTCACTCTTCCATTAATATTCCACTTTCAGTCAGATCCAAAGCAGATAGGAAGGTGTAGAATAAATAAATAAGCAGATATGCAGATATGGTATAAACTTCAGTAGGCGGATACACTTCAGGATCAGAGAGGAATGTAGAGAAAGCAGGAAAAAAAAGATTACATGTGAGAGTTTTAAAGAGAGTTTTTTTATGTGCGTGAGCTAGTATTCTGCATACTGCGTTTTAATTACAATCAATACATGGCTGAGGATCTTATCGTCTAATTTATCCATTTAAGATTCAGCTGAATGAATAAAGGTCAAAGCCTTGATTACAAACACCATTAAAACTCTTGCAACGGCCTAATCAGAAACCTCAAATACTTGAAGTGTCTGTGCGTATGTATTAAGCGGGACATGGAAGGAACGGCGTACACAAGCGCATCAGCCGCGAGAGCCTGCACGTCTATTTTTCACATCAAAGCGCATTTGCTTTGAGCATATGCACTCATACACAATGGCTTGCAAAAGCATTGAAACCCTTAACCAATTTTCTCATTTAGCTGAATTACAAATGCCTCTTTGAAATGCAGTTCTCTGTGATATTATTTCTGAGCAATAAAATTCCAAATTAACTACTTTAATATGACATTTATTTATGTTAGAAAATATGCTACCGAAATAAAAACTGAATTTTGCTGTCTGTGTTAACGTACCCAATCCCAGCTTTTGAATATTTCATACAGACACCATTTCAAGCAATTATGGCTTTTGTCTTTTGGGGTAAACACACCATTCAGGTGCGATTCTTCTCTCAAACAGTGATTCGCTCCAGGTTGTTCAGGTCCAAAATGCACTTCCTGATAATTTGGAAAAGTACTAGGCACACAGGCAAACACATTCGTCTTCTTAGATCAAAGCAGAATGAGAATACATAGGGCCATTTAGAAGTAAGCCGTAATCCTTAACTCAGTCCAGAGGGAGCTTTTGTTTGGCCTATAGTTTGTGTAGTGAGCGCTGTTAAGCCCTCTATCCTGCTGGGTGTTTAGTGGTGTCTTTTTTGTGTGTATCATCTCTGTGTCCCATATTGTAATGTGTTCTTCTATATTGCATGTGTAAAGTGTAAATTAGTTTAGATTATATAACACACTGCGAGATCTCTCTCTCAGAAATATTCCCACGTGGGCATGGTCCAGTCCTCTTAGAATGACACTCTAATCGACTCTTGAAATGAGTTTGGGAAAGTGTTAAATGAGCCTCCAAAAATAAGACAAATAAATGGCACAGATTTGTGAATAAGCCTTTTCTTTGTCCTAGTGTTGACAGAGTTATTTGAATCATCCCTCATCGGCCTACAGCGATTAACCTGTTCAACTGTCAGACTGGAGGGCTTTTATGTGAATGTGTACAGTAGCACCCTTATGTAAAGGGATATTCCAAGTTCAATTCGAGATAAATTCAATCAACATCACTTGTGGCATAATGTTGATTACCACAAAAATTAATTTAGACTTGTCCCTCCTTTTCTTTAAAAAAGCAAAAAATCTAGGTTACAGTAAGTCAATTACAGTGGAAGTAAATGGGGCCAATATGTGAGGTTAAATATTGTTTTAATAGTAAATCCACATAATGTAAACAATTATTATGTTGAGATTATTTTGTATACATGTTAAATTTACAACTTGCTGTGGCAGCATAACTTCTAAAATGTCCATAAAAATGCCAAGAATGTCTTTACAGCTCAAATAATATACAGAAGAATAATTTATATAAGAATCTTAATGTTAGCGTTTACCAAATTGTAAGCTTCACATTTCTGCTTTTAAAATCCTCCAAAAATGCCCTCAATTCACTCCCATTTCATTGTCATTTGAGCTTAACTTGTATTGAACCCTGAATATTTCCTTCACTACTTTAACGACCCACATCAGCATTGCCCCCTAATGAGCTATTCTTATTATTTGAGACATTTAAATTCCTTAAACTTTAGTGTCTCTTTACAAATTCTCGGCTGGCTGCATGTTTTTTGATTGTGTTTGTTTGAATTGTGCCTCGCTTGCACCAAATTAATTTAATGAAGGAACAGGATTATCCATTGTTAATTAAATCCTCACTGGCAGTCACTGCATGGACTTGGATTAGCTGAAAAGAAAACTGTTTTAGTTCTGAGCATCTGTACACATGTATTTAAAACAATGCATATATGTAAATTATGGTTGTTTACATTGTTTCCGTTCCACCAGGTGTCTGTCTTATTTTCTTGTTCGCTTTGTGGCAGTATTCTGTCAGTATCCAGTCTGTAGCTTTTTGAATTAATGTCTTCCTTTTTGCTAAAGCCACCTTGAACCATCCAATTTGTTTGAATAGATATTTGGTCAGCCACTTTCTTATCTTAAAAAAAAAAAAGTCCTTCCACTCATCACTGCCTTAATTCAGATGTCAGGCCATCACACTGGCTGAGGAAGATCTACAGTGGTGCGTGTAATTGTATTTTCATTTTAAATAACTGTATCGAATTGTATTTGATGTCCTTGAAGTAGCCAGAGCATTGGATTGAGGGATTTAAATGCTCTAATTTAAACATCTTAAATGACTTTTTCATTCTCTGCTTGCTTTTGCTCCTGTCCCGTTCAGTTCATCCCATTTTTAAAAGATGTTCACAGCATGCTGATAATATTGGCCTCATCTTGAAGGACATGTTATCCATCTATACTCCACTCTCATTAGACAAAGATTTTGTTTGTAAACAAATGGCTTTGGGACAGACAGAACAAATCAGCTGACAAACAAATGACTCTGCAAACAAACAGCTTTCAAATGAAATAACTTTCCAAACAAATAGCTTTTGAAATAAAACACTTCCCAAACAAATTGATCTCTAAATAAAAAGACTTTCCAAACAATGGCTTACTAAATAAAAAAAACAAACTCCCAAAACAAACTTTCTCCAAACAAACCGTTTTCAATACTCTCCAAACAATTCGTTTAGTAAATAAAAGACTTTCCAAATCATTGTCAAAATAAAGGACTTTCCAAACAAACAGCTTTGCAGACTAATGGCTTTTTAAACAAATGGATATTCCAATAAAAGCGTCATCCCACTCACGCCTCTGTCACCTCCTGTTTCAATAATAATTCATTGCATTTAAAATCTGGCACCTCTAATGTCAGTATCACACTAATTAGGTAGCATGTGGAAGTGCCAATCTTCAGTAAAACCATATGAATATATTTAGTCAGAGTTTGTGATCATTCATTACATTTGGAGGAACGCAATAATACAAACAGATGGAATATAATTAGTATGAGGAGCTACAGTTGTGTAGGTGTGATATCATGTATCTGTCTGTTTTTTTATTGCTGCTAGGCTGTTAAACAAGAAAGAACATGTGTAAAAGCCACTTGTGCATATTTCAGTGACTAATGTCTCTATTTCTTGCTCTTTCTCTGCAGGTACGGAGACATGGTCCCTAAGACCATAGCAGGAAAGGTCTTTGGCTCCATCTGTTCTCTCAGTGGGGTGCTGGTCATCGCTCTGCCTGTTCCCGTCATTGTTTCCAACTTCAGCCGCATCTACCATCAGAACCAGAGAGCTGACAAGCGTCGGGCTCAGAAAGTTCAGGTCAGTGGGGCTCAAAACTCCCTGAGGGGCATTGACTCCTCTGACCGAAACTGCTTTGGCTGAGAAGCAGGTCACTAATGTTTACCTCGGAGTAATGCTCCTGTTAAATTACATCATATCCTTTTCCATCTTATGATTAAATAAAGATAAGTGATTGTCTTAGGGTCCCGAGAGTAGTTTTGAAAGCTACTAGTCTAAGATGGAGAAATGACATGGGGTTTGTGGGTAAAATCAGGTGACAGATGTCATTCCCCTGTGGCGGCATGGTAAAGTGATAGTATCAGACGGTAATGCTATGGCACTCTAAAATACACTACCATTCAAATGTTTGGGGTCACTAAGGACGGATACATTAAATCGATCAAAAGTGACATTAAAAACATTTTGAACTTTCTATTCATCAAAGAATCTCCACAAAAACCACCTGCTTTCAACACTGAAAACAATAAGCAGCAAATCAGCATATTAGAATAATTTTTGAAGGATCATGTGACACTGAAGGCTGCAGTAATTGCTGCTGAAAATTCAGCTTTGCCATCTCAGGAATAAATTGCATTATAAAAGATTTTACAATAGATAATTTATTTTAAATGGTAATAATATTTCACAACATCAATTTAAATACAGGAGACCTCTTCTAAAAACATTTTAAAAAATCATACCAACCCAAAAATTTTGAACGGTAGTGTATATCCGCATGGTACTGAATGATTACCATATTCATTTACCATGGTATTTACCAAGGTAGATCAAAATGTAGGTGTGATATCATGTATCTGTCTGTTTTTTTATTGCTGCTAGGCTGTTAAACAAGAAAGAACATGTGTAAAAGCCACTTGTGCATATTTCAGTGACTAATGTCTCTATTTCTTGCTCTTTCTCTGCAGGTATGGAGACATGGTCCCTAAGACTATAGCAGGAAAGATCTTTGGCTCCATCTGTTCTCTCAGTGGGGTGCTGGTCATCGCTCTGCCTGTTCCCGTCATTGTTTCCAACTTCAGCCGCATCTACCATCAGAACCAGAGAGCTGACAAGCGTCGGGCTCAGAAAGTTCAGGTCAGTGGGGCTCAAAACTCCCTGAGGGGCATTGACTCCTCTGACCGAAACTGCTTTGGCTGAGAAGCAGGTCACTAATGTTTACCTCGGAGTAATGCTCCTGTTAAATTACATCATATCCTTTTCCATCTTATGATTAAATAAAGATAAGTGATTGTCTTAGGGTCCCGAGAGTAGTTTTGAAAGCTACTAGTCTAAGATGGAGAAATGACATGGGGTTTGTGGGTAAAATCAGGTGACAGATGTCATTCCCCTGTGGCGGCATGGTAAAGTGATAGTATCAGACGGTAATGCTATGGCACTCTAAAATACACTACCATTCAAATGTTTGGGGTCACTAAGGACGGATACATTAAATCGATCAAAAGTGACATTAAAAACATTTTGAACTTTCTATTCATCAAAGAATCTCCACAAAAACCACCTGCTTTCAACACTGAAAACAATAAGCAGCAAATCAGCATATTAGAATAATTTTTGAAGGATCATGTGACACTGAAGGCTGCAGTAATTGCTGCTGAAAATTCAGCTTTGCCATCTCAGGAATAAATTGCATTATAAAAGATTTTACAATAGATAATTTATTTTAAATGGTAATAATATTTCACAACATCACCAATTTAAATACAGGAGACCTCTTCTAAAAACATTTTAAAAAATCATACCAACCCAAAAATTTTGAACGCTAGTGTATATCCGCATGGTACTGAATGATTACCATATTCATTTACCATGGTATTTACCAAGGTAGATCAAAAATATAATGGTACTACCAAGGCCTTTTTTTTTTTTTATTGTTGCCAGGGCACTGATGTTCTTATACCTGCTTCACAATAAAATACATAATCCCTCACAGAAAATCCCAAATCTACTTTTATAGCTTTGATAGTCTGAGCAGCTAAGGCGGGTTGTAGGGGAATGTCTTCTCTCGCAATCGCCTGTTGTCTTACCACCGGTGTTTTATAGCTCTTTATGTCTTTTCTCAGTTGATATTCACTCAGCCATATTGCTGCTCTTTTCCCTTGTCTGATGAATAAGGTTATTAAACTTGTTTGTTTCCGGGTGCATGAAGGATAATAGTACTACTCCGCCCTACTTTTCCGTCCTCGTACGAAATAACACCGCAAACAAACAGCCTTAATGTTAAATTAAGCCTTTCTTTTCTCCCCAGGGGAATGAAGGGATGACCTGTCACTCGTTTAATGGCAGCATGGCGTCAAAAGATTGAGTCTAGACTCTGAATGAGATCCCAGCAGGGTTACATGCCCTGCGTCTATCCATCTATCACTCCATCCCTCCCTGTCCTCCTCCGAAACGTCTCTATATCTCTCTCTGAAGGTTATTTAGTTTGGGCGTAATTATCTGTTAAATCACCACGGGCCTCTCAGCTTGCTTTTGCTATGCTAATAATTGCGAATGTTACTGGAGATTAGCTTGATCACAGAAAAACAACACCAAGCCAACTCCTATGACATCCCGCGTGTGCGGAGAGAGAGAGAGGCGTCAGCTCCTGCACTCAGCGGTATGTTATGCTCGCAGTCATGGATTTAATATATGCTAATGAGGAATTAATGTATGCTAAGGTTTTGGGTGGGCTTACAGGGCCGCATTGTCTCCGCAGGCAAGATTCCCAGTGGCTTTAGCATTTTACTTAGTGTTAATTTAAACTTTATCCAGTATGGCAGATTATTACCCAGAATTCTTTGCATTCCCATTGCCGCAGTGCCCGGTCTGCACATTATCTCAGCTTGGATCAGCCTAAACGGAGTTTTAATGTGAAATATTCGTCGCCAAACATTTTCTGTCCTTTTCTCTGCACAGCCGCAGGGGATGCGAGTTCAGTTTTAAGTCCAAACTAAAGCTGCCAGATGCGACCAAACCTCTTAGGACCATCTTAAAAAATGTGTTCTGTGTGTGTGGGTGGGTGTTTAAACACATCCCATGGTTAACTAATAAAAGAGTGGCCTAAGTGCACGAACCTGCCTCGAGCCCCAAGTTAACTTCCACCACAGGAACAGCTGTGCTTACTGTCCAAAGGACATGTGAGAGAGACAGAGAAAGACATGGAGAGGGAAAAAGAGCCAGAAGGGATGTTCATCCTAATGACAGTCCTTCCACAAATAGCTTGCCCAGACGAGACCTGTGGGGAGGGGTTTGTTTATTTCAGCAGTCACTTTTGGGAGGTGACCTTCGTCCTTCTCACCTGTCGTCCAGTAGCCAAAAAACAGCATGGTACTGCACCAAAACCATGTATCAGTATTAATAAACCAAGTCACTAGACCATTATTACTGAAACATCCTCAAACTTTAATATTACAGATCTCATATTACTGGATGCACTCTAGATTCATCTCAATCCGTATGTGATGAACCGAAGAACTGAATTAGCTCTCCTAATCATGTGCAGCAGTTAAACAAAATATGCACATGTGGGGGTGTTAGAAGTGCATTTATATGTATATGTGGGTGTGTTTACTATTACCATCTACTAATTGTTGTTATGGCAGCACTACGAGGTCTTTGCAAACATTTACTGACCTATAATAGCATCACAATAATAACAACATCAGCAATTACATTTTTGGGTCACAATCTGGGCCAGATTTAAACCCATAAGGCTCCAAATGTCCAAATTACAATTCAAACGACTATGTGTCTACAAAAGAAAGTCAGCCATATAGGTTTGGAATGACTTGAAGGTGAGTAAATGATGTCAAAATATTATTGCATATTAGTACCTGTTGAAAGGGCACTGCCCCAGTGACTGCGTTTGTACCTTTTTTTCAGAGAGTTTGTCCTAATTTACTCACCCTAAATGTCATTCCAAATCTATATAACTTTTTTTCTGAGAGTGCATACTAGGGTTGGGTATCGTTTGGGTTTTTTTCGATACCGGTGCCAAATCGATACTTTTAAAACGGTTCAGGTGCCTAAACCGATACTTATTAAAAAATAAATAAATTAAAAAAAATTCCCCCCAAAAATGATGGATTGGCCATTAGAATAGGGAAATGAGGCACCGAAATCTGCGTTCGGATTCGGTTCTAGTACCTACCGGTTACATAGGTACCGGTGCCATATTGGTACCGGGTTTCGGTACCCAACCCTAATGCATACTGTCATTTTTTGGTGAACTACCTCTTTAACTATTGTTCCAGTGTTGCATAGACACAACATCATCGGTTTCTGCCGCATCTGTACTAGCCTGATGAGATTTGTTCAGTTCAAGGGCTTTAGCTTACTTCTAGAGCACTCCAGGGCTTTCCAGAAGACTCTGAATTAAGAACATTGCAGACATGACAGCTGGGTTTGATGCAGAACCATCGAAGGGAGCATCAGCTTAATGAAACTTTGATTAAAGTGCGGAAAGCTTCAGATTTTATACGCTGATTTAGTGTTCCTTTGGCTGATTGTGTCTCACCTCACGAACATACTGCATTTTTCTTTTTTTTAGGGACTACAGAAAACAACATATACCGGGGCAAGTTTATTAATAACTAATGCAAATCTGCACAGCCAGCAAACTAAAAAGAACGGATCATTTCCTAGACATCACACAATTCTTTCATGACTGCTCACTCAATGGTCTCATTATGCTCAAACTTTCATGGTTAATACAAAGGTCTGAGTTTTGTTCAAAGTTAATTCAGGAATCAGAGTTTTGATCAAAGTTGGTCTAGTAATTGGGGTTGAATTATTAGTCCTGACAATAGAAGTGTTAGCTGTGCTACTTCCCTGCATGTTAATGACTTACTCATTATTAATTCAGCACTTGCTTTACACACAATGCAAATATGAACATGATCTGTGATTTCTTTTTAACAGCATTACATAGTGGTGAATGTTAAGGCAAGGTTTTCCACTCTTAATATTAAGCTTTGATTGACATGAAACTCGTCACGCTCTGCTTGAGCTACGGACATGAATGATACCTCAAATCATGC